AGAGAGAGAGAGAGAAATGTAGCTTATTCAGCAGAGGAGAAAACAGTTCCAAAAGACTATGGTCATCTTTGTCAGAGAACTTTTCCTCTTAGGAGGAATGTGAATGAGAAGCCATGGCAAATTCCATGCTGTCAGGAAACTGTCAGGATGATGATCAAAAGTTATCTAGAAAGTGGAAGAATAGAGTACAACTAAATCATGTCACTGTTAAAGGAAAAACACTATAAAAACAGGCAGAGGGCCATAGCTGCCTATAGGGTATCTTCTTTTTCTTTAGTTTTTATTTGTGTGTGCCCATATGTGTGCAGGTATATGTACATGTTCACACGTGTGTGGTTACATGTGTATGAGTGTGTGCAGTGTACATGGAGGCCAGAGGTCCACCTCAGGTGTCATCCCTCAGGAAACATCCACCTTTTTGAGACAGGGTCTCTCCTGGGACCTGGGGTTCACCAATGTAGGTAGGCCCGTGAACCCCAGGGAGGGATCTGCCCATCTCCACCTCATCAGGACATTACAAGCATGCACCACCATGCCTAGCTTTTTACCTGGGTGCTGAGGGACAAACTCTGGTCCACATGCATGTGTGGGAAGCATTTTACCTGCTGAGCCATCTCCCCACCCCAAGGACTTCTTTGCCTACTCTAGACGCAAATACAAAGCCCTCCTGTCTGTGGCTGGTCTTGTCATGTGTCTTTTGATGAAAAGTGACCGCTGACTTTAAATGTGGTCTGACAACCATTTTTCCTTCATAATTATACCTTATTGTATTTAAGAACTCTTTCCCCATTCCCAGATCTTGAAAATATTTGCTACATTTTCTTCTAGGCCCTTTGTCATCTAACCTTTCACACAGTACATTTAATCCTATGAAAGAAAAGGAATTCAGCTCAGATGTAATGTGTAAGCTGCATGTGAAACACCCAAGGAAAGCCACATAGGACTGCCATAGCCAGGCACTGCCCTAGTCACTCTGGAAAGCCTGTCCATAGCACAATTACACCTCATGCCCATGTAACAGTCAGGAAAACAGCACTTGCCCAGGGTCATGAACCCACCAGCAGCAGAGCCTTGAACCACTGCTACTGCGGCCTCTCATTGGGGTAGACAACTTAGCTCTTCTGGGCCTCAGTTTCCCATTCTGGAACAGAGAGGGTGGACTTTTAGAACACCCCCTTCTGCTTCCAGTGGCCAAGGGAGGCCTCTTTTTAAATTAGCAAGCGCAGTCTTCCCCAACCCACACCCTGCTTGGCTGCTGCCCTGTACAACCCCAGACGGGCCCAGACAGCCAGCAGATGCCCAGCCACATCAGGTACTTCCTGTGGCCACTCCACTCAGCCGGCTTCCACCCACCATCACCTGATCCTGCCCTCGGCACTTGGCCTAGAGGCAGGACACTGGCCGCCTGCCTGGGCTTCTCAGGAGACAGATGTGCCCTTTCCTTAGTGCCAGCGCCCCGTTGACACTGAGAGGGGGTGACCTTCAAATACCTTGGGGTGGCCACAGGGAGGATTCAAAAGGTGCACACAGAAGTCAGGATGGTGGATATTACTGCTCCTCTTCCTAGGGAGATGACACCAAGGAGAAAGGACCTGGCCAGGAAACCAGGGGAGGGGCAAGCGCAACCAGTTTAGAGTTGCTTAAACTGGAAAAAGTGCCTGCTTCAGACAGCAGGGGTGGGGTGGTGGGCAAGAGTTGGAGGAGACATTCCACAGCAGCTTTGCAACTGTCTAAGGAAGCCTCTGGGGTGGTTCTGGTGAGGACAGGAGACACCAGACAGCAAGAGAAGTCCCTAAGAAGTCAGGAGGGAGGAAAAGACTATAGAAGACACATGTTGAACATGTCTCCACTGGAGGTGACATAAGGGAACACTAAGGCCTGTGGCAAAAAGGGCCGAGACCCAGAATAGGGAGGACGTGCAGGGCAAGGGGCTCTGTGCCCCAAGTGGCATCAGAAACCCAAGGGTGAGCACCAGGTCCACGGCACCAGCACCAGCAGCCCCTATTTCTCACAGGTAATAGATGTGAGGCACCCTTGCCACCTTTGACTTCCATGATGACCCATGATGCACATGCAATAGAGCTTCCTGTTGTACAGATGAGGAAACTGAGGCACCAGCAGGTGAGGTCACAGAGCTAGAGAAGCAGCCAAGCTCGGAACCAAACACTGCAGACAAGGGGTTGTGGACCCCTGGTACCGATGGGGAAACTGAGGCTCACAGAAGCCTGCCACAGGGGGAAGAGTCCACATGGATGTATAGGGCCTCGTGGCCGGGCTTCTCATACTCAGGAGGTAGAAACAGACAAGGAGACTGAAGACTGAGGTACAGAGGTGGGGTCCCCCGGGAACACAAACCACAGGCTGCATCCGCTCAGGCGTCAGCCAGACAAAGGCATGAAGAAACCCCTGGAAAGTCAGCTTCATCCCCAGGTCAACCCAGCAGAAGAAAAGACTTGAGCTGGAGACATAGACTGATCCCTGTCCAAGACGTGCTGAGCAAGAACACAAAGCAGGAACCCTTCTGCCCCCCTCACCCCCTCCCTACACACTCATCCAGCTTTGCCCTCTTCAACACCAGAGCCAACCAACCCGTCCTTCCATGCACATGTTGCCAGCTGGCCACTATCCCCCAAGCTCCAAGCCTCTACCTCCCTCCACCCTCCCTATTCACTAAGCACCAGCCATGCAGCCACCTACCCAGCCACCAACAAATCTGATGTCAGGACCCAATCCACCACCTAGCCTAAGCACCTGTGCTCACCTCCAAATCCCATCCTCCACCAGCTCAATACTACCCATGTCTGCCTCCAACTTCCTATCCTATGCCCAGCCAGTCATCTTCTAGACCTCTAACTAGTCAACCACCACTCTTGCGTCTCTCCTCATCCCTCCCTCATCCCCAGCCTCATCAGATCCCTCCCCTAATCTTCTCCCTCCCTTCTCTCTCATCTTTTCCCTCTTCCGCATTCTCTCCTCCACCTACTAACTCATCCCTTCACAAGGCCATCACATTCTTCCCCTCCCCGCTCCCTACTTACCATCCATTCCTCCTCCCACTGCTCCACAGCCCACTTGCATACCTCCAACCTACACACACATCCACTCACTCCTGGCCTCCACAAAAGGCAGGGAGCTCAGTGAAAGACATGATGATGGTGGCAGGTCATTCTTTCTTCGCCCAGCCTAGCAGTAAGAGATTTCTCCCCTTGAGCCCTGCACTGTGGGACTTTAGAATCACAGGATGCTGCTGAACCCTCACAATCATCTAGAATTATGCTGTGCAATAGCAATACAGTGTCCACAAACAACAAACGGCTGCTAAGCACTGGAAATCCAGCCGGGACCCACTGTGGCTAACACAGACACCGCTTCATAGACTAAACGTCAAAACATATATGGGAGGGCCAGGTGTGGTGGTGCACACCTTTAATCTCAGCACTCAGAAGGCAGAGGCAGAAGGATTTCTGCTGAGTTTGAGGCCAGCCTGATCTACATAGTGAGTTCCAGGCCAGCTGGGGCTATAGGGAGACCCTGACTCAAATAAATAAATAAATAAATAAACAAACAAACAGAAGACATAGGAAGAGGAAAGTAAAGTTTAAACACCAATTATATGTAATTACAATTAGATATAACATCTGTAGTATCTTGGGTTGCATAGACTACTAAAATCCATTTCGCCTGTTTCTTTTCACTTTAACGTGGTTAGGAAAAAACTGCAATTAGCATATGTGGCTTATACTGTATATTGACCTAGAAAATGCTCAGAAGAGAAAAGGGAAGCCCAGAGAGGGATGTGACAAGCCCAAGGTGTCACCCAGAGAGAGGAACAGGTTAGCACTGCCCCAACTCCACCACGGTAGCCTCCCCCTGCCGGGTTACCTGGATTTCCGCTTGCAGTAGACCAGCAGGTTGTCAAAGAGGAAGAAGGCCCTCTCCTGGATGTTTCCCGCAGAGATCTTCAGCAGCATCCCCTGCAAGAGGAGCTGGGTGCAGATGTCTGTGAGATTGGAACCCTGATGAGACAATGGGAGGCAGGGGATGAGCACCCAGAACTCACCTGTCTTAGTTTGTTTTCCTATTGCAATGAAAAAAACAAAAACGAAAACCTTTGATGGAATCAAGGGAGGATGGTTTATTTCAGCTCCCAGTTCAAGGTTACTGTCCGTCACAGTGGGGAAGTCATGGCAGAAGGAGCCTGAAGCAGCTGGCTGTGTCACGTGCACAATCGGGAAACAGAGCAAGGAGTATGTGCTACCGCTCAGCTCGCCTTCTCCATCTACACAGCCCAGGAACCCACCAGGGAATGGTCCTGCCCCACAGATAAGATGGAGCTTCCCACATGTATTCCTGGCAGAGCTCATCCATAGACTGCATGTCCCTTTTACAGGAGATACTTCATAATGCCAGGAGGTGAGGCATCAAATAGCTAACAGCAGGTCTCCATCAGCATCTGGTCCTATAGTGGTTGGGTTTTTCTCTGCGGTATCTGTTGCCTGTCTTTTCCTGTGAGCTATTTGCATCTCGACTTAAGTCTTTCCCACGAGAATGCCACTCCATAAGGACAGAACCATTATAAGCATGTGCCATAGGACTCCCGGCACCTACAGCCCTCATTTGTATGCAGTAGGGGCTCAATAGATGCTATGTGGAAACTATCAGCACAGGACAGTGAGAGCACAAGATCCAGCAAAGGCTGTGGACACAGAGGGAAATAGCTCCTAGCTCTGCTTAGGGCTGTGGGCTAAAAGCTGCATGTCGGGGTGGCTATCACATAGGAAGTATGTGATGTTGACTGAGGATTGATGAGATTAGGGATGTCGAGGTCAGGAAAAGTGTCAGGGAGGGGCAAGGACAGGGACTGGGAAAGCTACCAAGTGTCCTCAGAGCCAGGACCTGGTGGGTCCATCTGGATCCTTGTCAGGGCATGGCCAAGGGCTTACAGACCCCAAGGAGCTGAGACAGAGATCTAGAGATCTAGACAGGGACCAGGGCGGCACAGAACACCCAACAGGGCAGCACAGACCACCCGACGGGGCGGCACAGACCACCCGACGGGGTGGCACAGATCTTTGTTCCATTCACATCTTCTTGGGGAGGAAGTTTTGGCAGGTACTGGCTATATGACCGATAAACTACATTCTCTAGCTTCCTTTACACCCAGCATGGTCACGTGACCAAATGGTGCCAAGGAGCAGGTACTATACCACTACCATAAAGGCAGCATCCAGTCTCTCCCCCTTAATATTCTGCACAGGTAAAAGGCAGCCATCAGGGAGAGGGACCCAGTAGCAGGCATGCCTGACACAGGAAGGAAGTGGCCCTGTTGGAGCAAAGTCACCCATGCAGCCTGGTTAGCCACCAGCCATGTAGCCTCCTCTGTGCTGCACACAAGCTGAACACTGAGCTCCTTGGAGCTGCCACCTTCAGTCCCATGGTAGCACATGTCTGTCAGTGTATGCCCAGATGCCCCAGGAAGCTCAAGGCTCAGGCTGCAGCAGGACAGTGGGCCTGTGACCCTGAACAATGGCTGGTCATATGGCCCATGCTTCAGGAAAAGTCATAAGTCAAAGGAACAGAGGCAGTTGACTGCCTCCCTGCTAGCTGAAAGCCATCTGTGCCTGCTGGACACACTGACACCTGACTGGACCCTCCCTCCCCAGGACCCTGGTGGAGGTTGGCTGTCACTGCTACAGGAAGCCAGATACACCTGTGGCAGCCCCTTCCCCAAACACAAGTGAGGACCTCATCCCTCCCACCTTCCATCTTGATCTTGGCCAAGGCTCAATGCCACTACAAAGTCCAACTGCAAGGGAGTCTTGGAGCTGGAGCTCAGCAGGGAAAGAGGCCCGGCAAAGAAGGGTCCACAGGACACGTCGCCCCCTCTTCTATGAACACAGCAGTTAACTTCTCTGCAGCTGAGTCCTCTCCCTTGACCTCACAGTAGCTCGGCAGCATGGGGGTGTAAAGAACCCTAAATCCCAGATATCCAGGGCCACCTAGGGCCTCCAGCAGGTGGTCCAGACAACAGTCTATCCCAGACCTTTCATTGCTCTTCTCAGTCTCTCCATCCGGCAGACTGGCCTTTTGTACTGATGTGTGTTTTCCCGTTGCCTTTCCTTCTACAGACATGAGGGAAACTTCCAGTAACACAAGGAAGAAGTGAGGGTTGAGAAAGTAAGTTACGGACTAACAAGACCAATCAGTGGGTAAAGGTGCTTGCTGCCAAGCCTGATGACCTAAGTTCAATGCCCAGGACACACACAATGGAACGAGAGAACCAACTCCTACAAGCTGTCCTCTGACCTCCACATCCACGCTGTGGCATGCTGTGCCGACACCCACACACATATACACAAAATAAATAAAGGTAATAAAGTCAGTTACATATACTCTTGAGGTTTTCTACCTGCTAACAATCCTGAGGGCAACCAACACTGCTGTTTATTGAAGATGTAAAGATGACACTAAGAGTCAGAATAGTTAAAGAGGTGTCCCAGGTCACCTAGCTAGCATGTCTCTATCCAGAACTTTGACCTGGGGTAGCATGATGATTAGTATTGATAGTCACTTTGACAGGACCTATAATCACCTAGGAGACAAACTTCTGGGCATATTTTTTGAGTGAGTTTCTAGACTCAGTTAGTTAAGGTAGGAAGATCCACCTTAAATGTGGATGGCACCTTCCCATGAGCTGGGGTCCCAGACTGATTAAAAAGGAGGAACGGAGCTGCCTTCATCTCTCTGCTCCCTGCGGATCAGATGTGACCATGACGCCCCCACTATGATGGACTACATCTTCAAGCTGTGAGCCAAATACACCCTCCCTTTCTAGAGCTGCTTTTGTCAGATATGTTGTCTTAGCAACAGAAGAACCGAACGCAGGTAGATATGCAAAAGCTGCCCTTGACATTGCCATCAGAAACACCAAGTCCTGCAGGCAGCCAGCAGTGTGCACCGAGAGACTGGAGGGTGGCCCAGAGTGATGGTGGGGGCTGAGGAGATCAGAGACTCAATGGCTGCGACCCTGGGACACCACAGTGTCAGCAATTTTTCAACAGAAAGTTGAAATCTGGATTTTTATGTGGGTTTCATTGGAAAGCAACCAAGTCATTTGAAAGTAAACATAGGACAGGCCAAACAAAGGCCCCCCGAATCCCCTCAGCCCAGGGACCTCCTCCTCCTCCTCAGCCCAGTTCCCCACCCCCTATGCCCCTGGGCCCAGGGCCCTCCTTCCAGGCCGTGCGCACCTCCCAGCCCTCAATGTGGGACTGCAGCTGCTCCAGTGCCTCCAGCTTCTCCATCTGCCGCTTGGTCTCATTGATGTTGGAGCAGACGGTCTTCATGGCCTGCAGGGCACTCTGCACAGCCGGGTGGTCAGGGTGCTTGCCAGGGGTCCTCTTGGCCAGCTCCTGGGGTGGGGAAGGGCAGGAAAGAAAGAGGTTAGTCTAGGGGGCCCTAGCCAGTGGTGGAGCCAAAGCTGTACACCCTGGGTTTGGAATCACACACCTCTGTGTGTCTAGAAGGGAAGTTTCCAGAGAGGCTTCGCTGACACAGGGAAGGCCAGCCCTGAATGTGAGCAGCACCATCCCAAGGGCTGGGGTTCCAGACTGCATAAAAATCAGGAAGTGACCTGAGCACCAGCATTCAGCTCCCTCTGCTTCCTGACTGTGGACACGCTGTGAGCAGCTGCCTCAAGCTCCTGTTGCCATGACTCCCCAGCGTGATGGACCGCACCATCGAATTGTGAGTCAGAATCAACTCTTCCTCCCTTAGTTGATTTTGTCAGGTGTTTTGTCCCACCAATAAGAAAGGCAACTAAGACACTCATTCATTTGTTCGTTCATTCATTCATTCATTCATTCATTCTCTCATTCTGGGGATATTATCCAAGCACCCTTGAAGTCAGTCTAGAGATAACAACAAAACAGATATAAGCACCTTACCTGCTGGATACTGTAGCCTGACACAGAAGACAGACCAAAAAGTACTGACAAAAAGACAGACCAAGCATCTGCTACAATGGCAAAGAGTGAGAACTCTTCTGAGGAGTTAGAATGGGGATCAGGATATGTTCTTTCAAACAGGGAGGTTGGGGGACACTGAACCCTGCAATGAGCTGAGGGGAGAATGCGGAAGAGCAGGTGCAAAGGGCCTGAGGTAGAAGGTATGTGGTGCATAACAAGAAAGAGTGGTGACCTGGGGGGGGTGGGCAACGAGACGGGAACAAGGAGATGGGCAGGTCACAGAGGTGGCCACAGTCCCTGCCCCAGCTTTCTTAGTGAAATGGGTAGAAGGAAAAAATGCCTTTGGAGGGGCTGGAGAGGTAGCTCAGCAGTTAAGAGTACTAGCTATTCTGGCAGAAGACCCGGGTTCAAATCCCAGCACCCACATGGTGGCTAACAAACATCATAACTCAAGTTCCAGGGGATCCAACGTCCTCTTCTGTCCTATGTGGGCACTGCATGACATGGATGCACTTGCATACATGCACGCAATATACTCATACATGTAAAATAAAAATAAAGCAAAAATTTTTTTTAATTATTTTGGGGACTCCAGTGTGGCTCAGAGGTAAAACGTTTGCCTAACATGCTGGAGGCCCACCGTGGGGTCAATCCCCAGGACTGAAAGTAAACAAATAAAGGCCTCTGTAGGTGCATCCAGTGTCCAGCCAGCTCCTGACCTGTGACCCAACTACCATCAACTCACCCCTCATCCTAGACACAGGCTGAAACATTCTGAAGGCCTAGCCAATGTTCACTTGAGACAAGCTTTCATGTAGCCCAGGCTGGCTTCAAGCTTACTATGTAGCTGAGGATGACCTTAAACTCCTAATCCTCCTGCCTCCACCTCCTGAGAGCTAGGACTGTAGGCATGGGCCACCATTCCAGTTGATGCAACAGTGGGGATGGAACCCAGGGCTTCCTGCATGCTAGGCAAGCTCTCTACCAGCTGAGCTACAGCCCCAGCCCTCCAGTTTGGTCAATAATCTGAAACCAAAAGATTTCAGCCGCTCACTAGGTGTGAGGAGTAGGGCGCTGAGGAAGGAGGGGATTCATAGGAAGCAGCGGTGGGGACAATGTGTAGGCAGGGTACCAAGGCGCAGGCACTGGCCTTCTTCAATCAAGACATCAGGACAGTGCCAGGCAGGCAAATTTCCTGAACCAGGCACTCCAGGTACCAGATGATGCAGACTCTGCCCACTATACATCTCTGCTCCCTGCAGTCACAGCTGAAGTCCCCAGACACTGCCTCTCCCACACTGGATACAAGGGTGGCTCTGTTCACCAGCTGGTTGGGCACAAGTCAGTCCCTCCCTAGCCTCAGTTTCACCATCTACAAACTGGTCACAAAGAAGCCAGTGATGGTAAGAGTAGCAGTGAATGGCTCCTGCACCTCCTGACTGGGTTGGAGAGGCAGACCCCAGACTGTCTAACAGGAGGCTGAGAGAGGTGCAGGCAGCCGAGACCAGGGAAGAGGAGGTGGAGCTTGGATTTGAACTCAGGCCACTGGCTCTGCTCACAGTTAGGATGGCAAAGGATAAACAACTCTGCAGAAGAACCAAGGTCTACAGACAGCAAGCACTGGGCGCACCAACTCCCAGCACTCCTGGAGTTCACAGACAGCAAGCACTCAGTGAGCCAGCTCCTGGCACTCTTGAGGCTGGTGTCCTGTGCCAGCTATAGCCCACAGATGTCATTCCAAGCCCTTCTGAAAAAAGCCAACTCTGAAAATGGTCCTTCCCCACTTCCTCCCTGTCTCCTTTCTTGAGGAAGAGGCCCTAATGTTAAAAGGCCCAATCCAGTGACTCCGTGGGTCACAGGCATCGCTGAGCTCTGCTCCCTTGGACAGGCAGCAGTAGAGTAGGCAGGGCTCCCTGGGCTGGAATGGGGAGACTACAACAGCCCCTGATGCAGAGGTCATCTGGTGACTAGAAGCCGGGGTCGGAAGCATGGCCGGTACCCAGAGAAAAGCTTCAGGAAGATAGTGAGAGGCAAGAGGCAGGCAGAGGCTAGGGCAGAGCTGCCACAGGGGCGCAGGTCCAGGCCTTCGCTCAGCAGGCAGCCATATACACACAGTGTGCAAGTGCCAAGCAAACAAGGAGAAGCCCTTGGAAGTTCACAGTCAAGGGGAAGGTCAACAAGGGGCCAGCACTGCCAGTGAGCTTCACGCTCCTATCCAGCTCTGACAGACACAGATAGAGGCATAGAGAGGTCAAGTCCTCTGTGCAAGGCCACACAGCGGGTATGAGCCCAACCATCACAGAATACTTCCCTTCCAAACACAAGTTGCATTATAGCAACTGCACACACATGCTGGAGGATAAAGGCCTGTTAAGGGGGTAAGTGGAGGAAGCACAGTGGTCCTCCACAGTGGAGGGGCTTCTGAAGCAATGTGCAGCCCCATAGCGGCATAGTCATCCTTGGGGACAGCACTCTAGGACCCAGAAGAGCATAAGCAAAGGTCCTGAGACAGCAAGAAACAACATGGAGGACAGAGAAGAGAGAGAGAGAGACTGATGATGAAGCCGGAGAAGCATGCTGAGGCCACACCAGCAAGGCCAGTGGAGTTCTTGGCTGTGTGCCAACAGCGCAGAGATGTGAGGGAACAGTGTTGAGTCCCAACACCGTGCGGTCCTCTTTAACAGTGCTGAGAGGAATGAGGGGTAGAGATGCAGGCAGGTTCATCAGTGGCTGCTGCAATAATCTAAGCATGAGCTGGAGGTGCTGGGGTCAGGCAGCTCTATGCCTCATTCATTCATTTACTCATTCATTTACTCATTCATTCAGTCATTTATTCATTCATTTACTCACTCATTTACTCATTCATTCATTTACTCATTCATTCATTCATTTACTCATTCATTCATTCATTCATTCATTCATTTATGGTATTCCCCTGGGCCCAGACGCATCCTGTAGGCAGCAGCCTGCTTGGAGGCTTGTCCACAGATAATCACAATAGAAGATGGAACCTCAGGACCATCAGTCCCATCCTGTGGGTAAGTGACTTTGAGCATGTGCACTTGGGTCAGGCCACCCGAGGACCAGGTCAGCATGGTCATCAGATCTCCTCAAGCAAGCACAGAGCTGCTGGCCCCGCTCGCTGCAGCCTGAGCTGGAGGTGCAGTCACTTTTTTGAGTGTCCCTGTGGAGCTGCCAACTCTAGAGCTCAGTCAAAAGGAGAAGAGGGTCAGGTCCCTGCTGACTGCCCTCACCTCTGTTTCTGCTTAAGGTCAGCACTGAGGGTGGGAACAGGAAACATGCATGAAGGCCAGGCTGGTAACTGGCAAAGCTGCAGGGGAAGTGTGGGCTTTGGTGTCTCGGGTCACAGAGGAGCATGGGCTCTACCCCATGGAGCTACCCCTGCCCCTGGGCCTTTGCACATTCTGTTTCCACCCAGCACACTCCTTCTCAGGCTCAGGGGGTGGGGAGGCTATGGGAGGGTGCTATTTGGAATGTGGGTATATAGATGAATAAGATTGTTCAGGATGTTATATATGAAATATGCACACACAAAAAATAAATGAGTTAAAGAAAAAAAAAAAGGATAGGCAAGGAGAGGAGTTGGAGAACGAAGGAGAGCGCTGTGAGGTCTGTTCGTTTTCAACCACATGGGGCGCGTGGGAAGGAAAACCTAAGAATGACCAGAACTGCTGTGCATCTCTGCGTGGCAGCATGAGGTCAGCCACTTCCTCCACTGCACCAGAAACTAAGTCAAAATGATCGGAACCCTGAATGGAAGTGCTCAGACCATAAAACCAGAGACACCGAAGTGCGTTCTCAACACCCGGGAGGCAGGCAATGCGTTCTTAGACATGAGTGCTCACCACACCAACTCAGGCAGGCAATGTGTTCTTAGACATGAGACGGCATGCAAAGCAACCTCAAGCAAATCTGACACACTTGACTTCATCAGAGTTTAAAGATATCACACCCCCAAGGATACTGTCCAGACCGTGGGAGGATCCATGCTGTAGTACCTCAGGGGATGCTTTCCAAACACACAAAGAACAAAATCAAACAACAAATGAATAACCTAGGCCTGGCGAGGTGGCTCAGTTGGAAAAGTGTGTGCCTCATAAACATGAGGACCCAACTCTGATCCCTAAAACCCACACAAAAAGCCAGACACAGTGGTATAAACCTGTAACCCCAGTGATGGTGAGGTGGGAGGTAGAGACAGGTGCGTCCCTGGAAGCTCAGGGGCCAGCCTGACCTACACGATGAAGTTCCAGGATAATGTCAAAGTCTGTCCCAAACGTAAGACAGAAGACACCTGAGGACACCAGGACTGTTCTTTAACCTCCAGACATGCACCTTGCATGCCCATATAGACACACATTTACATATCACACACACACACACACAATTTAATTTCAAAATAGGTGAGGGTAGGGGCTGCAGAG